CTGATTTCTTTGAACTGAAAGAGAAGCCTAAAGCCGAACCCTCACACCCTCCCTTTGCAAGAACTAGGAAAATACTCATTGTTCTGTAATCTGTGCATGTTATTGAAAATGTCCAAAGTGGAGAGTCTGTCCTTTATCCCAAGTGACTGCTGGCTATCTTGAATAGATCTAGTAAATATAGATGAAATTTATGAAATTAAATTATTGAACACTGATGGCCCTTACAACATTGCCCACATTCACTAGTCTGAATACTTGGACATTCACCAGATATATAAAGGACTGTCAACATTTTTTTTTGCAGCCATTGACTACTTCCATATATCTGTTATGACCTTCTTTGTGGCAGGCAGCTTGTGCACAGACAGAGGCCTGTACATGATAGAGGGCTCTAGCAGGAATGAGTGTATCTCTTGGGGTTATCCTATGATGGAAACTCAGAATTATTTGTTTTATTTGGATATCTGTGTATATATTTCTGATAGTTCCAGTGAAGGATTGTAACATTTTCAGTTTCTGTACTCACAACAAATAGTGTCGTTTCTTTCTGCCATAAAAACCAATGGGGGGCACGTGGAGAGGATTGCCTTTATTAGAAGATAAATACTCTCTCCCTTGACAATGCAAGCAAGACCTTGAAAGTGGTGGTGCCGAGGTCCTGCCTGTCATTTACTTTCCCCATTCTAGTTAGAATTGTTTTGCACATCTTTTCTTCAATTTGAATTAAAATTCCAAATTAAATGTCTTCATAAAAGAGAGATGTAATGATACTTAGCAGCAACAATATTAGTGTTACAATTTGCTCACTGATGGAAATTATTCAGTATTTAAATTTAGTTAGATAATGGCTACAAAGTTTGATACATATACCAGCCAGTTGATATAAAGTATATTAGGCTACAAGCTCTTATAAAAATCAAAGATTGGATAACTGCTGTGGTAAGTAACACTTGATAGTATCTTTACATGATAGCCTAGAGATACTATACTATGAAATTCTAATAGTATACAGATTTACATTCTGGTCCTAAAGTTACTTCTTTGAAATAATTTTCACTACTTAGTTTAGTCTGCATACCTAAACTAAGTTATTTATGTTTTCTAATAACCTAGAACTTTTAAAGATGTTTGTTCTGTAAAAGTTTAGATCAATTACTATAAATTATATCTGAAGAGAAAAGTGTTTATTCTAAATTGAAAACAGGAATTAATTCCTCCCACCACTTTTATCCAAAATGTCCAAAGTGATTCCTTTTAATATACATAGAAACAAAATATGCCATTTCAAACAGATTCCCTGGGGATGAATAATAGCTTAAAGAACTTACAAATACATATATTTTACCCCAAAGAGCTGCATTTCCAGAAATCTTTAAAAGAATCGACAGTTTATGCACTTAATGCCTCCCAGTCCCCACTTAAGGAAAAAAATAAAATACTAATGAAAATCCAATAGAAGCCAAGTTTGTGGAATTGTCCATTTAGATGTGATTTCAGATACTGCCATATCTAACTTCAGTTGGAACAAAAATCACCAGATGCCTTCTGAGACCCAAAGTCATTTTCTTGACTGATGGTCAACTATGCTAAACACTATACATAATTCCTCCATTTCTTTCTTTCACTAGCTCCTTTCTACTTTTGCCAATATTTTCCTATCAAATACAAAGGAATTTGAGCAGGGTTCTCGGAAAATCTTTAAAAACACAATGTATTTATTTTAAAAAGCAGTGAAAGCCTTTTGCGTTGGATTTTTGGGTTGGTACTTATTTTGTCCAGTGAGAAGAAGACAGCAATATAATTTTATAGAATTTCACTGGAAATACTGAATATCCTCAAGACAACATATTCTTTTAATTTCTATAAGGCGAACAAAAAATTAAGGTGAACATGTAGCTTTAAATGAAACAGCAGCTATGTGTAGTGCAACCCTATCTTCTTCCACTATGTCCTGTGCAGAAGTGGGTGACCTCAGAAGTGTTGAAAGCTCCTTTTCAGGTCTGCTGCCAACCTGATGGCTACACTCCCAAGGGGAGGAGCTAAAGAGGAGGGGTTTGGCCAAAAAGACTAATCTTCATTATTATTATTTTTTGTAAAGGTTTCTATAATTTTTTTTGTTCACTGAAAAAATGGGTTAAATGATAAAATTTAATAGAGAAAGGCTTCCCTGCACTCTCTAGAGGCCTACAAAAATGTACACAACAATGGGAAGCATGAGGGGCTTCAGGTGTGCTTCAGACCCCAAGGACATGGAAGATTTGTCCCCCCCCCATATCCTCCAGGGGCATAAGGCAAGTAAAAAAGTTTTTTAAAAAAAAATATAACTCCCCCTTTTAAAAAACAAATTACAGAAGGTGTTGGAGAGGTTGAAAGCTACAGGGTACCCTATTTAGCCACATGTAGCCCACCAAAAGGCTGAAAACCCATCCAGAGCAGGTCTTCAACAATGGAAAAGACTACAAGGGAACAGGGCCAAAATCTTGATAGTATTGGAAGTACTGTGTTGGATTTAGGCCCATATTTTCTAAGAACTTGATAGTTCATGTTTCTCTGTCAATGTCAATAAAGATGTAAGGTTGTAAAAAGGTAAAGGTAAAGGTTCCCCTTTAGAATTTTTGTCCAGTCGTGTTCGACTCTAGGGGGCGGTCCTCATCCCCGTTTCCAAGCCATAGAGCCAGCGTTTTGTCCGAAGACAATCTTCCGTGGTCACATGGCCAGTGTGTCTTAGACATGGAACGCTGTTACCTTCCCACCGAGGTGGTCCCTATTGATCTACTTGCATTTGCATGCTTTCGAACCGCTAGGTTGGCGGGAGCTGGGACAAGCGACGGGTGCTCACTCCGTCGCGTGGATTCGATCTTACGACTGCTTGGTCTTCTGACCCTGCAGCACAGGCTTCTGTGGTTTAGCCCACAGCGCCACCACGTCCCTTAAGGGTTGTACGTGGGCACTATAAACCAGTACTGTATTTTTTGCACCATAAGATGCACTTTTTCTCCCAAAACAAGTGGGGGGAGAAGTGTATGCGTCTTATGGAGCAAATACTGTCCCCTCCACGCCACCATCGCTGGCTTCTGAGGACCTCCAGGAGGTAAGGTGCTGCTTTTTACTTTTAAAAAATGTTCTGGGGGGGTTTTGGAGGGTAGGTTTGGGCTGGGGGATATGTTTCTATGTTGCTTTGTGTTTTGGTAATTTTTTTGCAGTCCCAGCATGGGACTTGCTCTGTTTATTTATTTTTACTTTATTTTTTGGTATTTAAAAATTAAGTAGGTCTTAACGTCCGGTGCGTCTTATGGAGCAAATACTGTCCCCTCCACGCCACCATCGCTGGCTTCTGAGGACCTCCAGGAGGTAAGGTGCTGCTTTTTACTTTTAAAAAATGTTCTGGGGGGGTTTTGGAGGGTAGGTTTGGGCTGGGGGATATGTTTCTATGTTGCTTTGTGTTTTGGTAATTTTTTTGCAGTCCCAGCATGGGACTTGCTCTGTTTATTTATTTTTACTTTATTTTTTGGTATTTAAAAATTAAGTAGGTCTTAACGTCCGGTGCGTCTTATGGAGCGAAAAATACGGGTAGTTTCCAATCACGATTCCCCAGATGTTCTTGGACGACAACTCCCAGAAATCCTGGTGAGCACAGGTAGAGTTGAAGGCATCTGGGAATTTTAGAATTCAAGAACATCTGAGGACCCAAGGTTGGGAAACACTGCTATAAACAGAAGATGGGTAAGTCACCATACTGAACACTACAGATAACAAAAATGATTTCAAGCCTGACTGAGGCATCTACCTGGTGACATCAGATGCTAACAATCTTTTTAGGATTCTTCTTATTAGAAACCCTCCTTCTGTTGTACAGTAGTTTTCCCTCTTGCCCCTATGAGGAATCCCTTTTATTAGATGGCCTTGAATCCAGAGTGTCGCTCAGGATACTCTAGCATGTTAAATGAACATTGTGGTTGATAAAAAGAACTCTTTGTTCTTCATGCTGCAAGAAAGCAACATTTCCTTAAGAACTGAACATTTTCGTATTCTAACATAACAATGTAATTCAAGTCAATGCTTGTAATATTCTAAGGACTGTGTTTGAATCTTTTTACTAAATATTTTTCTAACAATACTGTTGTCTGAATAGGAATTTGGGTCTTTGAAGAATGCATGGACACACATATTTTCTGTATGAAAAGTAACTTTCTATATCCAGTATCTCATGCTGGATGGCAGTTTTTGTCAGTAGAATAGTGAGAGGGCAATTCCGCCCTCCCTCTGTGAACCCCAGAAGTCTGTTCTAGAGAGTAGTGAAGCCCTCAGCAGTTCTTTTGTGAATGGCATACAGGGTAGAAGAGAAAGAGAAGGGGAGTGGAAGAAAGTTCTACTGTACTAACATGATGTTGGATTCAGATCAACACTTTGTCCTGCTTAGTATTTTTATAGTGCCAACTCCATTTAGAAATTTGGAAAATATGATTGTGCTAAACTGTTAATTTACACTGAGATTTCATAATTTTTAAGAAAGGAGAATTTTATTTATGTTTCTAGACTATTATGGTACTCACCAAAGTGAAATACAACATTTTTGCAAAGAGTTTGGGCCCTGTAGCTAAAACAGAATGTCTTTAACACAGTTAGCATGCTCTGTAAGCTGATGCATTATGAGAAATATGTTTTCTTCACAACATCTGCTGTATTACAAATAAAGCAAACTTCTGTGAATAACACACAATGTAATTTTTTCTTTTTTGGGAAAAAAAAACATGGCCTGGACCAAACTTTGCCCTTAGCCAAGCAAGCTCCACTCCCAGCAAAAGCAGAGTCAAAAGGAGGATGAGCTGACATTCACAACTAAGGGCAGAATTTAGTCTTTTTGTTGTCATTACAAAGAAATGAAATCCTTTTAATGGATAAATAACCAACAAAATAATCTGCAAAACAAACAAGCAAGCATTTAAAATATAATATGTACAAAACAGCAAAAAGAAAAAACAAAAGCCAGAGCCACTTACAGGGCTTGATGGAGTCTTTGGCCAGCCTGGGCTGCCAATGCTATCACTTTCATCTCCATGAAATGAGGAGATGCTAGCAGAACTTGGGGACATTGGGGAAGGGACTGGCAGGTTGCCTGGGGTTGGGGGCTGAGAAATACCCTGAGAGCTGTAGCTATCCTGTGGTAGAGGAATAAAAAAAAAGGACAAAGGCAGGGCAAACTTTATTAAAAATGAAAAAAATTACATCCAATTTAACAAATTGACAAATTTTTCTTTTAACTATTTAAATTATAAACAAACAGAGACACACACACATACAGAAAAACATACACATATAATATATAAGTATTAAAACAACATTAATAGATTTTGGAAAGTTTGCTGGATGCTTGGCTAAAGTCACTGTGCCCCCATGCTTCCTTCAAGCTAAATGGAGTGTCAAGCATGGGTTTCCCCTTATGAGATAAAGAGAGACAGACAGACAGACAGAAAAATAATTAAAGCTGTTCACCTTATTTTTATCAAATAAGGCAGGAAAGCAAAATATTAAATATGCTGCTGCTGAAACGGCCAAAACAGGAAGCCAAAACTGAAGATAGAGAAAAATGGCTGCAAGTATAAAGGTGGAGCTAAGACCTGTTGTTTCACCACCCAGCGGTCACACTGAATTCCCACACAAGATTTTGCTGAGGTCCCCCCACCCCTGCGAGTTAAATGCCATAAGAACTAGTAACTTTCAGATCCATACAATGAAGGGAAGGGAAGAAAAAACATTAAAAAAATAGATTGCACGTCAATGGAGAAGAGCATGCAGGATACAACAGAAAAGGGCAAGCTCAAATCAGAGAATGAAAGACAACAGAGCAGCGTTCTCTTGCGCCAGACAAACATTACATGCAGTGAGGGAAATACCTTTTTGCTCTCAGGCTGAGGAGGCCCTTCTTCTTTTCCATCTGGTTTGAGAGGAATGGACAATTTGGACTCTCCTGGAGTCATCATATCTGCAAGACCCATAGGTGCTAATCAAAAACAGGAGATACGGTTTAGCATGAAGGTCAGTTTCTTCCTCTCAAAAATCAGTGGGGCAACAATGTAGAAAATACCACCACTCCTTCTTTAAGGGAGGGCTAGACATACATTTAGAATTAAGTTTGAATTATGTGTTAGATGTCTACTGGAGGAAATGTTGTTGAATCAAAGCTTCAGCATAGCTGTTAAAACACATTTTAAGACCTTGGGTTTTTTTTTTTGCAAATGATCATATGATTAACTACTGACAGCAGCATAATTCCAAGCTATTTTATGTCTACCATGCTATTGCTGAAAAGATACAATGAACTTCATTAGGCAAATCACAAATCCATGACATGTGGATTGGTAAGCAATGTTTAATTCTTTGATTTATGTTTGCAGGAACGAATATCTTTATCATTACTATGGTTTTCATTATGTATGCCAGCTTCAAATGAGGAATTCAGCCATGAACCGTGAGCACTGACGCTACTGAAGAGTTACTATGATTATTAGCATTAACAATGACTGGATTAGGTATACTTGTGACATATAAAATAGCACCCTGGAGCGTATCCACAGGCAAGGGAGATTTTTCTAGCCATCTGGTGCAACAAAACAAATGAAAGATTTGCTGCTCATGAGGGTGTTCTTCATAGTTTTCCACACAGCCACTGCTAGAAATGGTTCCTCCACATCTTCCTGTGAAATGTCACTGTTTATTGACTTAAGTGACTGTGATTGTTTACTTCGCAAGGGGAATGAAAAGCACAACACGCACTCTCTCCTTTCCTTAATGTCCCTTTCACCAATGCACAGATCTGTCCTACAGGCAGAGTTGTACTGTGAACCAAAATTATGGAGTCCCTCATGGGTCAAATCTATTTGCCATTCACTCAGATGCGGCTTTATTAGTAGACAATCAGAAGTGAGTATGATTCTTCCGTCAGCTCTTCCTACTAATAAAGGTCTGAATTGGCCCTTGTGGTATGTCACCTGAAGCACAATAAAATCCTTACGATTACACTGTAAAATATCACATAATATTTCTCTGAGCCTCTTTGTTACCAAATCCCAGACCTGCAACACCGTCAACTGAAGCCACATTTTTCACTTGTAAATTATTCTGTAGATCTGCTCCACAGCTGACATGGGCATTTCAGTTCTTTTCTTGTTTAGAAAAGTCAGCTGGGAGCACTACTGAATACTGATAATTCTTGCTCAAGTAACACTTATGCAGTCACTTTACAGAGGTGTGTCAAAGGAATGTTCAATTTCTTCCCAGTATTTTGAAGGTGTGAAAAACACAGTACAGAGTCACTATTTCACTTCTCCTGAATTATCCATCTCAAACTTGAAAGCAAAAAGAAGCATTTAGACTGAAAATACACGCTGGCTGAAATCCAGTAGTAAGTTACAACTAGAGTAGGCCCACGGAATCAGAGGAATTTGGTGAGTCAATTCCTCTTTAAATGCCATTGATTTAATGGGCCTACTCTATTTATGGCTTACTAACTTGATTTCAGCCAGTGTGCTTCCTTTCCCCCCTTACAAACGTGTGTGTTCATATACTACAAACAGTGGGAATGTTATGCTCCCTATTGTAAAACTCACTTAGGATTGATTATATATTATTTGCTTTTAACTTTACAGCTTATCAGATCATAAAAGTTCATACTAGGGGCAGCAATAGTTTTAGAATTGCCTCAGGTGCTCGTAGACATGCCTCAATATTCTAAACTATATTCTAAGCTGCACTGTCAAAATTATGAACTTATCTCATTATTTAGATTATGTGAGTCCCCTTCTCAGAGCTTTACCTTGGCTTCCAAAGCTGTATTTAGGAATGAGTGTAGCCCTTGGATTTTAAAGCTCTCTACAAGCTTGCTTAACACTCTTTTGATGTTTGTTACCTGTTACATCCCTGCCTATGACTTTTTTTCCTTCAGCTATACCACTACAACCATCCATCTTTCTACAATGTGTTTCTGCCATTCTTCTTGATATCTCCTGCATGTAATGTAAGTGAAAATACCTCCTTGAACATTAAGTGACATGCCATCTCTCCTGCTTTATTAATTCCAGCTTCAAATTCACATTTTTAAAGATACCACTGGCTTAAACTTGTGCAGACTCTAAACGTGTTTATTCAAGTTCCACTGAGCTCCCTGGGACTTAATTCCTAGTATTTTTCTTCAATATTACAGCCTTAAACTGCAATCCTATACTGGCTTGCCAACGTCAGCCCTATTTAACTGCATGTACCTTAATTTGAGTAGGTATCTACACTGCAATGATACTCGGTGTTCAGAACAGTAACCCAGTTTACGTTGGCTTCTTTCCTATTCTTCTCTCTCTCTCCTCTACCTCTGTTGTCTTTCTTATTGTCTCTTCTGGATTACAAGTGCTTGGGGAGTAATGTTTCTGAGTTATGTATCTTTCCAATGCTATGTATACACTTGGCACTATATGGGTGTAATACACACAAATAAGCAAGAGATGCTACAGTGACAAAATCAAATATAAAATATAGGCATACGTAAGCACTGTAAAGTTTTGCTATAACTACTAAATTTATTTATCTATTTTATTTATTTATTAGATTTCTACCCCGCCCCCCTAGACAGTGTCTACTCGAGGCAGCTTACTAAAGTCACACTCAAAATGTTATTGTTAGTTCAACTTCAATTTCTGTGAATTCACTGTAAAATCCAAAAAAGAAAAAAAAACCCACCAAGGCTACATTAATCAACACAGTTGCAACATTATGTGAACAAGGAGAGGTCTATATGTTTCTAACTACAATAGCACACTGCCCTAATTACGCCAATTTTATTTTTGAAAAAAAAAAGTGAAAGAAAAAAATAAAGGGTAAAAAAAGAGAGCGCAGAATACCATGGATATTATAAAAATAACAAGACTCTAGCCTGACCAGTTATGGGGTTGATTTGCTTTCTTGCAAAATGGTAATGCAACATTCTAGTCGGCAGCCAACATGTGGGAGAACAAGCCAAAGGGGAAGGGGGAGCTTTAAAAACACTTCACAGATTGCCCGCTACAAAATGATTATTGCAAATATTCATGTATTACTATGTTTTAGAAAATAATTAGCTTTAATTACAGGAGTGAGAGAACGAGCAAGACTCTGGCGAATAAGCTGGCAAGCTTTATGGTGCTAATTTGCTAGTCTCTCCAGCATCACTTCACTCCAGGTTCAGCTAACAACTCTGCTAAAAAAAAGCCTACCTAGCCATGTGCTGCAAGAGTTTATGGCTAACTATACACTCAACACGCATCCCTGAATTGCTAGAGGTTTTCCTGAGCGTATGTTTATAATATTGCTAGAATCCAAACAAGGTTTAAAAGATACCAAAATGTAGAAAGTACTTTCAGTCTAAATGACTTAAGAATGACAACAAGATGTTTTCTCAGATAACTGAAAAAAATGCTACAGGAACTGTTGAACATTCCAGCATTTTAAATGAATCTTAAATAATAATTAAGTAACTAAATCCTTCATGGATTGCTGCCTTGTCGTGGCGAAGGGGCTTGAGTAACTCAGAGAAGCTATGGGCTATGCCGTGCAGGGACACCCAAGACGGACAGGACATAGTGGAGAGTTCCGACTAAACACAATCCACCTGGAGTAGGAAATGGCAAGCCACTCCAGTATCTTTGCCAAGAACGCCCCATGATCAGAAACAAAAGGCTAAAAGATATGACGCTGGAAGATGGGCCCCTCAGGTCGGAAGGCGTCCAACATGCTACTGAGGAAGAGCGGAGGACAAGTACAAGTAGCTCCAGAGCTAATGAAGTCGTTGGGCCAAAGCCGAAAGGACGCTCAGCTGTGGACGTGCCTGGAAGTGAAAGGAAAATCCAATGCTGCAAAGAAAAATACTGCATAGGAACCTGGAATGTAAGATCTATGAACATTGGGAAGCTGGAGGTGGTCAAACAGGAGATGGCAAGAATAAACATCGACATCCTGGGCATCAGTGAACTAAAATGGACAGGAATGGGCGAATTCAGCTCAGATGATTATCATATCTACTACTGTGGGCAAGAATCCCGTAGAAGGAATGGAGTAGCCCTCATAGTCAACAAAAGAGTGGGAAAAGCTGTAATGGGATACAATCTCAAAAATGATAGAATGATGTCAATACGAATCCAAGGCAGACCATTCAACATCACAATAATCCAAGTTTATGCACCAACCAGCATTGCTGAGGAGACTGAAATTGAACAATTCTATGAAGATTTACAACACCTTCTAGAACTGACACCAAAGAAAGATGTTCTTCTCATTCTAGGGGACTGGAATGCTAAAGTAGGGAGCCAAGAGATAAAAGGAACAACAGGGAAGTTTGGCCTTGGAGTTCAGAACGAAGCAGGACAAAGGCTAATAGAGTTTTGTCAAGAGAATAAGCTGGTCATCACAAACACTCTTTTCCAACAACACAAGAGGCGACTCTACACATGGAAATCACCAGATGGGCAATATCGAAATCAGATTGATTATATTCTCTGCAGCCAAAGATGGAGAAGCTCTATACAGTCAGCAAAAACAAGACCTGGAGCTGACTGCGGCTCTGATCATCAGCTTCTCATAGCAAAATTCAAGCTTAGACTGAAGAGAGTAGGAAAAACCACTGGGCCACTCAGGTATAATCTAAACCAAATCCCTTATGAATACACAGTGGAAGTAAAGAACAGATTTAAGGAACTAGATTTGGTGGACAGAGTGCCTGAAGAACTTTGGATAGAGGCTCGTAACATTGTCCAAGAGGCAGCAACGAAAACCATCCCAAAGAAAAGGAAATGCAAGAAAGCAAAGTGGCTGTCCAACGAGGCCTTAGAAATAGCAGAGAGGAGAAGGGAAGCAAAATGCAAGGGAGATAGGGAAAGTTACAGAAAATTGAATGCAGACTTCCAAAGAATAGCAAGGAGAGACAAGAGGGCCTTCTTAAATGAACAATGCAAAGAAATAGAGGAAGATAACAGAAAAGGA